TTTCTAGCAAAAGATTTAATGAGAAGTTAGAGAAATTTTTAGTTAGAGAGAGAAAGAGAAAAAAGAAACTATAGAAAGAAAAATATTTATGACTTTTAAAGTTGTATAAAATGACAACGTTATGAAGATTAATGACTTACTTATCGCTCCACACATGACCTGACTCGTTTTGCAAAGTTTTTCTTTTTTTTTTCTAATAATTTCTTATTTTATTTTTTGTTTTATTTTATTTTTTTAATTATTTTGTTTTTTATTCAATATCTAATTACTTAATTTTATTTAAATTTGATTTGGTATTGTTTACTAGGAATAATGAAAAAAAGAAAGAAAGAAAATATTAAAATTAAAAAAAAGGTTTTTAAGTCAACATTTATGTTACTCAATTTTTTATTTTTTTGCATTTTATGATATTTTTATATGATTTTTATGATAATTTTGTATGATTGTTTTATATGATTTTTATGATAATTTTGCATGATTGTTTTTATGATATTATTGCATGTTTTTATTATGATATTATTACATGATTTTATATGATATTATTACATGATGATATTTTTGCATGATGTTTATTATGATATTATTGCATATTTTTATGATATATTTGTATGATGTTTATTATGATATTATTGCATGATTTTTTCATGATATTTTTGTAAGATTTTTTATGTTATTTTTGCATGATACTTTCATGATATTTTTCTTTAATATTTTTATAGTATTTTTGTATGAAATTGTTTGTAAATAAATAAAAGTGGAATAATTATTCTTTGACATAAGATATTTAATAAACTTAACGACGGAGCATCTTTAAGGGAACAATGTGTTTTTCTTAAATACTTTTAAGATGAGAAAATTTTTTTTAATAAAAACTTAAAGATTTTTTTTCAATATTTAAATATTAAAATTAAAATAAAAAAGAAATAAAAACTATTTTTTAAGGCTTAAACAAGATAACATAAGATTAATTCAATATCAATTTTGGGTGTTGTGAGGCGCTAAAATCTTTATTATATGTAACCGACTCCCAAATCTAGTTTTGTTTATATAAATTGAAAATTATTTTTTTAAAAAACCCTTAATTTAAGTTTAAGGTAATCTTAAAAATAATAGATTTACTTAAGTGACCAATCACATCTAAATAAAAAATATTTATGGCAACTCCATATTTTTATGTTTAATGAGTAGGTTTTTGAATTTAATTGTTATGATATTAAGTTTCACTTGTTTGCTATGCTATCCTGACCCTTACTATAGAAGAACCATTGTGAATCAATTTTGTATCTAGAGTTGCAATGTTATAAAGTAAAGTGGTTTAATGTTAAGCAAGAAATCATAATGATGACTCGATAACAAATTTATTATAACCATGATTAAGGATACATAATGAAAAAAAAAAAAAAAAGGTATCAAAGTCTTTCATTTAATGGGTTTGAAACATAGATTCCTTGTTTGTGTTGTGGTCTCCTCTTTGTGGTTCTTTCTTCTGTTTGGTCTAAATATCCTTCCCTTGGTATCAACCTCTCAAGTATGTTTCCAAACCCTCTTTCATCATTTTGTTTAGGGTTAAATACTCATTTAGTTCTTGTACTATACAATTTTTATCAGTTTGGTATTTTAAAAAATAAAATTCACAATTAAATACTTGAGTATTTGAACTTTCATTTTATCATTCACTTTAGTAATTTTGATTAATGTCATTAATTAACTTGCTAATATAGTATTAATATCAAATAAAATACTGATACGTGTCAAAAAATCTAATCATTACCGCAGTATCAATTGCCACATCAACATTACAATAAAATTTTAAAACCTCACAAAAAAAAAATTAAAATTTCAAAAAATAAAAACCAAAAAAATTTCAAAAATCTAAAAAATTTAACGAAATTGAAAAAACCATAAAAAATCTAAAAAAAGAATTTTCAAAAAAATTAAAATTTTCAAAAAAATCTAAAAAATAAAAAATTATCTAAAAATCCAATAAATTCAAAAAATTTAAATATAAAAAATTTAAAAATTTGAAAAATAATTTCAAAAAATTTTAAAAATAAAAAATAAACAAAACTCAAAAAATGAAAATCCCAAAAATCTAAAATATAAAAAAAAACTCAAAATATCTAGAAAAATCTAAAAAATTTTTAAAAATATTAAAAAGTTGAAAATTAAAAAAATCCTTAAAATATAAAAAATTTTAAAATTTTAAAAAATTCCAAAAACTCCAAAAATTAAAAACCAAAAAACAAAAAATTCTGAAAAGAAAAAACTTTGAAAATTTTTTAATATTACATTTTCAATTTTTTTAGAACATTTTAATTTTCAATATCTTTTGAAATTTTTAGGATTGTTTAGCTTTTTAATTTTTTTTTTGAATTTTTATGAATTTTTTAAGTTTTTCTCGAATTTTTAAAATTTTTTTATTTTTTGATTTTTAATGGTTCCAGACTTTTCTTCTTTTTTTTTTAATTTAGATTTTTTAATTTTTCATTTTTTTCATTTTTTAAAATTTTTCAGTATTTAGGATAATTTTTTGAAAATTTTTTCATTTTTCATATTTTATTATTTTTTTAATTTTCAAAATTTTTAGAAAATTTTAGATTTTTTCAGATTTTTAAATTTTTGTGAGTTTTCTTTTTCAAATTTTATTTTTATGAAAAATTTTGAAGTTTTTATATATATTTTAAATTTCGCCTCTGTCCGCGCTCTACCAACAATGATTTTCTTCCCTAAACAAGAGAGATCTTTTTCAAAAAGAAATTAAACTATTTTCACCATTCAATCTGCTTCCATTCAATCTACCATGAAAATCCGTAAGCTTTTTCTCTGGCAACAACAAAAAGAAAACCCATTTGTAGATGCAATACCTCTCTTGCCACCACCTGCCCAAGCCCCTTTATGTCACGGTAGCCAATTTTAGTCTAGGTTTTAATATCCTTTGTCACAACCATGAATGTTAATCAGTTACTACAGAGTTTTCGATGAAAGAAAAGTTGACAGTGATGTTGACTAAGTGAGCTACACCAAGCCAACAAACACAAGATTTTAAGTGGTTAGCGACATAAATATTTGGATTTCAAATTTGGTTTTTTTGGTTCTTTTTCTCAAATCGGGTTTCTTAAGTAATTATTGTGAGATTATAATTGTAATGATTTTGAGGTTAATGATAAAAGGTGACAATTAAGATTTTTGTTGATACATTTTTTACTGTAAAATTTATGATTATTATGATTTTGGGTTAATTATCATAATTTGAGTATAAAAAAAAAAAAAATTACTTAAGCACGACTTATGTGATTGCATCGACTGCACAATGAGCCTGGTATTGCTCTCATCCAAGGATGGATACATAAGTTTTTATTAGTGGTGGCAGCATTTTAATTCAATTTATTAAAATTTTTATTGAAAAACAAATTAATATAAAAAATTCTAAATAAATTGACATGTAAATAATTTTTTTCTATAAAATACAACTTTTTATACCATAGATATAATATTTACATAGCTAAAAATAATTATATGATTATTAACGAATGTAACCTAAATACTGTTATATCATAGATAAATTATGTTTCGATACATGCACATACAGACACATAAATATATAAATATGTATATATATTTGTTTAAATAAATTACTTATAGAATTCTTAAATATACATATAATATTTGAAAAAATAAAAGCAGATATTTTAATTTTATTATTTACTTTCATTTCTTATTTATTATAATATGAAGAACAACAAGTAAATATTTTCTCTTATACAATGAAAACAATATTTTTTATATATAATAAAAGCAAAAATATAAACATAAATCTATGTGAGTTAAATATCATTTTTTATTTTTTGTTCTTATTAATTTTCAGTTTATATGTTATCTTATTTATTTTTCTTCAAACTTAATATATATTATAATAAAATTATTTATCGCCCAAAGTATAAATGTTCAATTACTAAATAAACAATAAAATGTTTTTTTCATGATCCTCAATTCAACGTGGACAAATATGATAAAAAAAAATTTAGTGAGGGCAAAGCTTAAAATTTTCAAAATTTTTGAGATTGTTTTATAATAAATCTAAAAAGTTTTGATACTTTAATGTGGACAATTGCCTCTAACAATTACATATGTAAATCCATTCCTGTTCTCATCTCTTCCTTCGCATAATCAAATGGATTATTTAACTCAGTTGCTAGACTTTGACCTTTAAATTGAAATTGCTTCCTCAATTGACATATGCCCAACATATATTTGGTAATTGGGTTGAATGATAAATCAGATTGCAAATTATTTTATTTTAATTTTTTATAATTTATATTTTTTAAAACTAATTGATATTTTATTTATATTAATATTTTAAAATATTTAAAATAATATCACTTATTAAAATAATATTTTTATTAATATATAATATTTAAAATAGTAATTTTAATTATTAAAATATTAAAAATACATATGTTTCATGATATATATATAATAGAAATATTTAAAATAAAATATTAAAAGACTTTTAATATTAATATTTTAACATTTTTAATTAAATTAAATAATAATGTTTTAGATCAAGTTAAATTAAGTCCGAATTTTAAAAAAATTATATCCAATATTTATTTTAAATAGAATTATACTTAAGAGTTTGATAAATAATTTTATTCATAAACAATTCTTTTCTAGCAATTTTCAAAAAAAGAAAATCTTATTTTACATTTACCAGTAAATTGCTATTTTTGTTAACTAATCAATTATCTCCTAAACAAATAGAAAAAAGAAAAAAAAATAATTTTTACCATACAAACGGGCCTTAATATAGTTTGAAATTCAAAGCAAAGACAAAAGCAAAAATAATTTTTTTACCAAACAAACGGACCTTTATTTAGTTTGAAATTCAAAGCAAATAGAAAAGCGTCTTCCCTCTCTTTCTTTGCTTCCTTCCCTCTCTATAAAGTTTGAAATTCAAACGAGGTCAAGACTCAAAAGTGAAGAGCCTGCGGTAAATAACATATTAGAAAGAAAGAAAAAAAAAAATCAAAATGGAGAAATACGACAAACTGGAGAAGGTAGGGGAGGGTACCTACGGCAAGGTTTACAAGGCCAAAGACAAGGCGAGCGGCCAATTGGTGGCCCTTAAGAAGACCCGTCTTGAGATGGACGAGGAGGGCATCCCTCCCACCGCTCTCCGAGAGGTCTCCCTCCTTCAGATGCTCTCCCAGTCCCTCTACGTTGTCCGCCTCCTCTGCGTCGAACACGTCGACACCAACAAGAACGGCAGTTCCAAGGCCAATCTCTACTTGGTCTTCGAGTACCTTGACACCGATCTCAAGAAGTTCATAGATTCCCATCGCAAGGGTTCCAACCCAAGGCCCCTCCCTTCCTCCCTCATTCAGTCCTTTCTCTTCCAGCTTTGCAAAGGCGTCGCCCACTGCCATAGCCACGGCGTCCTCCACCGCGATCTGAAGCCCCAGAATCTTCTTCTGGACAAGGACAAGGGCATCCTTAAAATTGCAGATCTGGGCCTTGGCCGTGCTTTCACTGTTCCTCTCAAGAGCTACACTCATGAAATTGTCACACTCTGGTACAGGGCTCCGGAGGTTTTGCTTGGCTCCACTCACTACTCCACCGCCGTAGACATGTGGTCCGTTGGATGCATCTTCGCTGAAATGGTTAGAAGGCAAGCATTGTTCCCCGGCGATTCCGAGTTCCAGCAATTGCTTCACATTTTCAGGTTTGTTTGTTTCTTCCTCTGTCTCTCGCAGCCGCATGTTTACTTATTACTAAGTTCCATTTCTTTAATTATTTTCCATAAACGAAAACACAAAGGTTGCTGGGCACCCCAACTGAGAAGCAGTGGCCTGGGGTTACATCTCTAAAGGATTGGCACGAGTATCCACGGTGGGAGCCTCAGAACTTGGCACGTGCTGTTCCTTCCCTTTCTTCTGATGGAGTTGATCTTCTATCCGTATGTCCTCTCCTTCCTCATCACCCTCATTCTTTTATAAACTTCCACTAATCTGCTAACAAGTGAAGTCCCATGAAACTTCAATTTTATGCAAATTAGAATTCACTTGGAATGTCACTTCAAAGAGATTTTATAGTGGGATTAGAACAATAGTTTGAGTGATTGAAAGCATTTTATCCTATGATACGCTGAAAAACATACGGGTCATTTTATCTGGCTATCGATCTTTTTGCGTGTATGCATATGGATATGCACAAGCAACGAGGAAACTAAAATGAGTAATTTTGGTTGCCTTTTCTTCTTTTAATTTCTGTTTCCTCTATGTAAGCTTTTTGCAAACAGTGTAAAAGGTAATGCAGGATCTGCCTGAAAAAGGGTTGTGTGGCTTTTATAAAACCTCAATCGTGGTGATATATCAAATTAGAAAAGTTTAAAAAGAAACAGCGATAAAAACAGTAAAGAGAAAGTTTCTTTAAAAGATTATGGACGTTATTGTAGAAGAGAAGGAGCTTGCATGAGAACATGAAATTTATAGTGCGTTTTTTCCCTCAGTGAGCTCACTTGAAATCAAAATTTTCATTCTTAGAGGAATGGAATTTCTTGAAATCATTTATGTCAATATCAAGTCATACACCATGATCATGACATTAAATAATTTCATAACAATATATAACACATGAAAAAAATGTTTGTCTTGTATGTAAAACAGTTATTCCATGCTTGTGAAGCCTTTTAATTGATTTACCTCTGTATTACTTACAAAATTTGGAGGCAAATAGCTAACTATGTTTGGTTATTGTAGAAGATGCTTAAATACGATCCAGCGGAGAGAATATCAGCGAAAGCAGCAATGGATCATCCTTATTTTGACAGCGTTGACAAGTCCCAATTCTGATTTTGCATTGCTTGGTTATGGTATTATATGGAATTTACTCGTGTAGCATGGTATATTGTTACTCACTAGGTGCTACTTTCCTGAAATCAAAGCACCAACTTTGGAGGAAGCTTCAAAATATGTGGGGAAATTAGTTGCATTCATCTAGGTGATCCAAACAAGATTTGAAAAATGAATTCTAGTTTTTCATGTACCTGCGAGCATTTCTTAAGTTTGTAATGATCAAGTAATATCAACTAGTTAAATTTGAAACTCTTGTTGATATCTGATTTAATCCAATTTAAATCAGCTTATCGAGCATCTTCAGGTAACTTTGACTGTTTTTGAGCCAGTGGACTGATTTTGCAGTTTACTTTTGTTTTGGAATGTTTTGAGGTTCTTGAATGATTTGGTAAAAGTTTTCGTTCAATTGGAAAGGTAAATTTATTAATTTCATATATTTGGTAATCTTTGATCCGGTCAGGCTGGTTATAGTTTCGTGGGGGTTCATCTTTTGTATATTTAGTTATCTAATTGATTAATGCTAGCAGGCAAGCGGCAGTGCTGAAGATATGCCTTGCGTTTATGATTTAGTTTTATAGGGTGACTTCTGCGGCCAGCTGTCTGAATGTGATTCAGCTGGCCGTGGAGAATTAATAGTGCAGCGTAGGACACAAGGTGGGTGGATTAGAGGATCTGAAGCTTGATTTCTGCGGTAGGATAACATATGCCGAAAATGGCATGTTCTCTTCTGGTTGTTTAATAGGAATTTATAGTTAAGCCTTGAGATAAGTCCAGGTAAGTCTTATTTATATTTTAGGTGGTGGATCTTAAAGTTGAGAGAAACCTTGGTGAATGATTCAAGTCTGAAATACTATATTGTCAGCCCAAGTGAAAGCATCGATATTATGGTTTCGAAACTTTGATTATGATATGGTTTCAAAGATGAAAATTATTCGTTTGAAGGATGTTCTCTGTTCAGTGTATTTTTGAGTTGCAAATAAGCCGTTACTAAATAATATGTTTTCTCATTGTTTGTGCAGTGGTTAGACTAAGATCATTGGTAAGTTGAATTGTAGACTAATATGTTAAATACTGGTAATATATCGCAACTTCAACAGTATTTTCGAAGGGATGATGTTTATCGTGACCCTAGTCCCTAGAGTCCAACATGATATTGGGCACAGATATGTCTTCAAGGGCTTGTGCGATGACTCGTGGCTATTGCATTTGCAGCCATAAACAAGGGAAGTTGTTCATATAGCTATTATTATTTATACAATCCATTACACACACATATACATATATATTTGGTCGAATTATATTTAGTCATAATATTGTAGTTTATACAAATTTAATCTTCATATTATTTTAATTTTATAATTTTAATCTAATCATTAACTCCGTTAACTTTTATCGTTAAAAATATTGACGTGAATATTAATTTTATTGACGTGGTATTGACTTGTTGACATAATAATTTAAATAAATAAAATTAATTATTAAATTATGTAAATGATTTTTATGTTCACACAAAATTTGAATTTTAATTTTTGTAGTCGTACCAAAATTTGAAATTCAATTTTTTTAATATAAAAAAATATTTTGAATATTTTGGAATTTTTAAAAATATTAAATTTAAAAATATTTTAATCCTTATAATATAAACTTTTTTTAGAAATATATTATTTTTTATTATATAAAATAATTATTAATAATAATAATATTATTTATATTAATCAATTATAATATTAGTAATTTGAACAAATATTTCAAAATTAATATTATTTTAATTATTTTAACAATATCATATAACAAAATTTATAATTAACCAATCTATTGAATATAATTACATTTATAATGAACCTGAAATTAGGGGTGAGAAAGAAAAACCCAAAAAACCAAAAATTGATTTGAAATCATAGTGTTTGATTTTGTTTGAGTTAGTTTTTTTCTTATTCAGTTCAAATCAAGTTTGGATATTAAATGTATAAATTAAGTTCAGATCGAATTTCAAATCAAAAGGTTAAAAATCGAAAAAAATCAAACCGAACTTAAATATATATTTTTCTTAGTTTTTATATATTTTTTAAATTTTTATAAAATAAAATAATAATTTTATATCAAAATCTACTTAAATATATTAAAATTTTATATTAAAAATAATATATAAAAATAAAATATTTAAATTTAAAAATTGATAAATCAAATCAAATCGATAAAATTCGATCCAGTTTTATGTTATATACTAAAAAAAAATTTGTGATAAATTTTTAATAGATTTGTGTAAGATTTTTTTTTTCATATGATTGCAATATACTACAATTGTGATAAAAAAATGATAAAATTAGTATTAGATTTTATATTTTATAACATAATGTAACTAGAAATTATGATAGAATATTGTGATAGATTTTTTAATATTATGACAAAATATTATGATAGAGTTTTGTGATAATTTTTAAAATTTAATATTTTTAAAAACTAAAAAATTTCTAAAAAATTCAAAATATTTTTTGCATTAAAGGAATTAAATTTTGAATTTCGTGCGAATATAAAAACAAAATTTTAAAATTTGTATAACTAAAAAAAAAAATTGTTTGTATAATTTAATGATTGATTTTATTGATCTCAATTACTATGTTAATAAGTTAATATCATATCAACAAAGTCAATACCCACATTAATAAATAACAGCTACGCCAATATTTTTAATGACAAAAAACAAATGGAGCTAGTGATTAGGCTAATATTATCAAATTAAAATAATATAAGAACTAAACTTGTATGAATTATAGTACAAAGACTTAATTCCAAACTTTCACAAAGTATAGCGACTTCTAGAATAATTTAATGTATATATTTATATATATGAGGAGGAATTAAGTTATTCATGTTTAACCTTTTGTAACTTCATCATAATTACTATTTTCACAAATCAACCTTTAGATTTAACAATCCATACATATCGTCGTCATGTACACAAACCTTCAAATTAATTCAATATTGTTATAATTTAAAAAAATCAATATATTAATGGTAAAATTTTATTTTTATCAAATAAATAGTTAGATTTTTTAATTAATTTGAAAGTTTATATACATTATCTATGTAAACAAAGTATAAAATTCAAAAGTTGATTTAACAAAATATAAATTATATAAAAAATATAATAAATTGTAGGACTAAATTAAATTTACATTAACATGGATCCCTCTTCTTTATATATAATGTTATTATTTATATAATCAATTGTATATTAAAGATATATAAAACAAATTAAAAAATTAAATTAAGAAAAATTATTTGTATCTATTATAGACATTCTATTTAGTTCTTGGCCCAAATCAGTTGGACTTAATTTTGCTTTAAGCCCAATTGTTAAATTTGAGATTTTTATTTGTACTTTTTTATTTTTTATTTTTATCTTTTTATTATTTTATTTTTATTATATCTTTTGTTTTTATCCTTCATTTTTCCTATTATATATTTCTATTATTTATCTTCTTTTTGTTTATTTTTTAATCTTATTCTTACTTCTAATTATCTAAAATAAAGGAAAATTTAAAATTAAAAGAAAAAATTTAGTGATAAGACTGAGGGGAATAGAAAGAATCTAAGTGATAATTCAAGCTGTATTAGAGTTGCAATTAGGTTGGAACTCTTAAGGATAAATTTTTAGTGATAATTCAAAGTTTCAAATTTTGAGAATGAAGTGATCAAAAACTCTTTTAATTTTCCCTATAAAATAATGCTACAAGCAACACAACAAAACACATAACAATCATAAAAGAAAACTTAAGAGTAAAGAGTTTTAAGTAGTTTAAGTCCAAATTTTACTTTTTCAATTCCCAATGATTTTCCAGCAAGATTCTCAAGCTTCGACAAGATTTCCAGATTACGGTGACATTTTACCAACCAGTGTCGAAGCTCTTGATGAAGATTCCAAAGACATCTCTAGATTCCAATGAAGATTCTCAGTTTCCTAATAGTTGACTTGATTTGACCTAACCACAACCTGCCTTCTGAACTGATGCTGAGATCAAGCCATGAGCTATTGAGTCGATTATTTTTTCTATAGCTGAGTCAGATTCTGTGAGCCGTCAAGCTAGAAACTGTTTTTGGTATACTTTCTTTTTATTTTATTTTATTTTGTTTATTTATTTATTTTTTAAATAAATTATAAAACTTTACCAACATATTGGAAGATTGAAGTTTTAAAAATAAGTTTTAGGAAATAAAAACCTTACCAACATATTAGAAGGTTGAAATTTTAAAAATAAGTTTTGAAAAATAAAATCCTTACCAACATATTGGAAGATTTTGAAATTTGAAAAACAATGTTGCAAAGAATAAATTTTGGAAATAAAACTTTACACATATATTAAAGGGTTTGTGAATTTTTTTAATATCTAACAATAGGATTTTACCAATATAATTGAAAATTCTTATTAATTTAAAAAATAATAAATTTAAGAAAAATAATTTTCAAGAAAATTCTACCAACATATTAGAGGATAATTTTGATAGAAAATTTTACCAACATATTGAAAGATATTTCTAAAAATAATCTTTTTAATGTGAAAATTGGACTTTAAATCTCTAATGATGGAATTAGTAAGAATGTTGCAAATAGCAATTTCTATGTAAATTCCTAGGTAAGGAATCTTTTCTAAATTTTATCAACATATTGGAGAATTTAAATAGGAATTTTCAATATCAAGATTCTAAATTCCTTTTAATGGTGAATAAGAGTTCTAAAATTTTCTTTTGATTCTTATCACCTCTATCATTTGCAAATATGCATTCTTTTATTAAAAAATTTGCTATTCAATTATCGAGATATCATTTATACTTAATCAAGTTGCCATTTAATTTATCTTTTCACTATTAGGTGCTTTTTTTTTTTTTTAAGTAAGAGGCCTCCAAATCCAACCTTAGTGAAAGATAACTAACAAATATTTTATATCTTAGTATTTCTTTTTCATAAAAGTTCTAAAACTTTATTTTAACTCAATATGAGAGTATGCATTAATAAGTATGATGCTAAATATAATCACCCTCAAAACTAATAAACTCATGCTTTCTATAGTCTCCTTTTAAAACTTTTATTCCAACTCTTGGAACATATGAATCTATTTTATCATGGACACTATTAATCATTTTATTACTATGAGCAAAACCATGTCCATCACCCAAATTTGTCAAATAGCATTTACTTTGCTATTTTTTTTTATTCACAAAATCTTTGAATCACTCATGACTTCCAAACTAAATATAATTTTATACTTTCATTATATCTCAAAACTTTTAATAAAACCATGAGATGTAAATCATTTATACAAGTCACGAATTAGACCATGTATATATAACCAAAAATTAGCACAATGTGATCAAGATTGTGGCATCAATTTTAGCTTATGGCTATTCTAAGCCAACCACAATAATCAACATCATACCTTCAATCATATAGATTTGGTTATTGATGCTATCTTGTTTATACTTATGACTTTTAGTGAAAACCAACTATCTCAAATGGTACCCACGCGTTTCCGATGCACATAATAACTACCTAATTACCAATTCCAAGTTCATGACCATTGAAAATCTCAAATTTCAAATACTTTTACAATCATTTTATGATCAATATATTCAAAT